AGAATTAGGTTTTCTAAATAAAATACAAAAATTAATTAGTTAATTAAATTAATTAATAAAAATAAATAAAATGACCTATTTTTGGTTTTTGGTTATTTTTTAAGAAAAAAGAAAATGTAATTAAGTTTAGGCAAAACCCTAATTTTCTAATTATTTTTAATTATTTACAAAAAGAGAATTAAAGTTATCTAAATTAATAACCTAATTAAATAATTTAATTTTTTTGTATATAAAAAATAAAATCTAAACCTAATTTGTGAAAAGTATTATTTTTATGATTTTTTTTAATAAAAGAAAATAATTGATTGGTTAGTAAAATAAATAAATTAAATTAAATTAAATAAATGTAAAAAGAAAAAAAAAATAGAAACTTGGGTCTGATTAATAGCTTAAGGGGGTGTGAAAAACAATTTTCTGGGCCCAGCACAAAGAGGTCCACGTTGACCCTCAGAATTCCATGCCATGCGTTGACCCTGCTCTATTGTACTCCTTTAGTGATGACCTTTAGATTTGGCCATCTGGCCATCTGGCAGGCTGGATGATGAGGACACATGATGGTCCTTAGGCTTGCAAGCGCGCTGGATTACCTGAAAGGAAAAAATATAAAAGGAATGGGGGACCTGGGATTCGAACCCAGGTCCTGGAACACTATTCAACGCTCCACTTACCAACTGCGCTAGCTGCTTGATTTGTTCATAAGATAAGCAATAATTATAATATACAAAACAAACGGAGTTAGTGGACAACAAAGAAAACACGCGCCAAAATTCAAATATGTCAATGGAAAGGTGACACGCAGGTCATCCCTGACCTCGTTCCGTTGGTAAAAGTGAAACACTTTTACCTACGGACGTTTGTCCGTCCCTACAAACAGAGCTCGTTCCAAAATCCTCCATGAGCAATATAAATGACATCTAATGCCATGGTTGGATTCGTCTTGTCATTCTGAACATGATGGTACCCTTCATGAAGACCAATTTTTCCTGTATACAAAAACCCTAAAACAGAACCAAAAAACATAGCAATGGCAATTATCAATTCAGTCCATGAAAACGCAATCGAATACTACAAAAAGCTTGCATTTGTCATGGTGAACAAGAATCTATGATTATATTATGCTATACATGCCAGAATTATGCAAACAGAATTCAAGAAAGAAGCCATGTCATGATGGACTTACAGCGCGATATAGGGCCTGAAAATGCTTGCTTTTGATTGCTTTCGCTTGTTGGAGATCTCAGGAAGTGATTGAGATGGATAGAAGGCCTTGAGGATGCCTGAAAATAGGAATTCATGTTTACACTTTTTGGTGTTTTTTCAAGTTTTTTTTCTGCTTCTTGCGCCTGCCTCTAACCTAGTTTTAGGTCTGCATTGCTTCTATATGTATTGAGGAATGTATTAGGGTTGGTAGAATATACTCAATCTTCTTCCATTATTGAATTTGATTGTGATTTGATACACTTGAATATCATTCCAAAAATAGCCTAAAATCAATATTTTTGTCCATACCAATGCCTTGCACAATTTCAAATACTTGCCAACTGGATTTGAGACCTGAAACAAGTATAAAATCTTGAGTTTTCAATGCTTTAGATTTTCTCATGATTTATTTTGATTAAAATTGATTTAATTCAAATAAAAATCAAAATAAATAATAAAAACATGATAATGACAAGTGGCAAGTGATAGAGCTCGTGGACTTTGTTGCCAACTCAAAACAAGTGAAAAAGATTGGGCCCATTTGGCAAAAATTGCATTTTTAGGCATAGTTGACTTTTGGCAATTTTGCAAAAAGGGTCAACTTCACCAATGCATAACTTCCTCAATTTTGACTCTTTGAAGGCAATCTTGGACTTTTTAGAAATCTTGAGATGTCCTCTAAGCAAAACTTTTGGTCCCATCTCAATTTGATATTCCATGCTCATGTATGAAGCTTTGACAAAAAAGGTGTTTTTGTTGACTTTTCAAAATGACCTATAATGTCCAAATTCATAACTTCTTGTGAGTGCATATTTTAAACTTGAGAGATGGAGATGGATTGTAGAGCATGGCATCCTATTCAAAATGAGCTTTGGATGGGTCATTTCTCATAAAGTATGAGAAAGTTATGCTTGGTCAAAGTTGAGTTGACTTTTCCTGCAAAACCCTAATTTAACAACTTTTGGTTCTTGAGGAATTATGAGCAATCCTTGATGAATCATGACCAACCCTTGATCAAATGATGAAATATACTTCAAAATGAGGATTTTGACCAAAAATCTTGAAGTTTGACTGTTTGTAGGCCACAATTGACTTTTGCCTTAGCGCAGTCGATTTTCAGGCCTTTGAGCAATTGACTGAGCAAACTTCCTCTGCAAGGCTTGAAACTTGACATGGATGATCTTGAGAACATATTATGAAAATGGTGAGCATTTGGGATCCCTTGGACTCAAGTATCTTGATGTAACATGAAACCCTAATTTGAGGTAGACTGCCTTAGGAGAGAGCTTGTCTGGTCAACCCTTGGACTTTCTTGAGCAATTTGGAGATCTTTCTTGAAATGTTTTTTTGAGAAATATGGGAGGGAAAATTTTGGGGTACAACAGTCCCTATCACGTCTACGCAAAAATAGAGACCAGGGCGTACTACCTAGAAAATCTACAAGGGGAACAACTTGCTCGACCAAGAAACACTGAAAAGCTAAAACAATATTATAGTTAAACCACTGAGCAACCGACGAGCATCATCGACAAGACGAACTCATCCAGGCCCGACCACACGTGCATGCCTAGGTACAAGCACGCCACTCCAATTTAAATGAGGGGCAAGACTCTACTCTTTTTGACGAGCGGGTCCTTAGACCAACATGGATAACTCGATCGAGCTTCATCGTTATTGTACTACACCGACAGAATGCCCAGCTCGCGATGGGTAGTTCACGCTGTCGAGCTCGGGTCCCCAAAATGAGACACGAGTTTCAGCCCATGCCCGGTATTCACCCTGGTCGTTTGACTAGTTTCCACATACTAGCGAACACACTAACTAACGAGCAAATCCCTGCTGAAAACTCAGCCAATAAAAAGTGTCTCAAGCAGACGAGCATTGAATGAACATGCAAAACACTTCAAATATAAAAGTAACACAATCATGTATGAACTAAAGCAAATGGCCACTACGGTCGGAAAATTAAGATACGATCAATAAGGCCGCGATTGTGAAAATTTTACAAAAAGGGAGCCCAAGGCCCCCATCCAACAAAGTAATCTTGTGGCCGTAAAGACCACAGTTGTTCAAAACTTAATCAAAACGGGCCGAAGCCCACAAAATGAATTACATTAATACGGCACGCATGCCGAAATAGAAAAAGGAATAACAAGAAGCAGTCAAATATCTGGCTGAGGCTCTTCCTTAGTGGCGGGCTCTCGATAAGATGACTCCCCTACGGGAACATCCCCAACGTCTCTGAGGTACCAAGGGATCATGATCTTGCCATTAGCAACATAATAATGGAGTCCCATCCCAATCATTTTAATCTCGACCTCAGGGTTCAAAACCCGAAGCTGCTTCACTGTATTATCAAAGTTCCCCTGAGCAGTAGCGAGAGGATCATCCAAGCCAGTTGGAGACGTTCAACCAATTTCGCGCTAGTCCTTAAACATTGGGCTTCCTCCGGATTGTCCTCGACATGAGTAACTTCAGTAGTCAAGGTCTCCACATGTTCGTCAGAAGTTCTCTTCTCGGGGAGCAATGCCCTATGGTCCTTGGTCAATTTCTCCAGCCTCTTCTCTGCCAACTTTCGAGCAACCCCCTCATCGGTACGCTCCTTCTTAGTATCGGCCAACTTAGCATGTAATTTTCTCATCTCGACATCTCGATAAGAGCCTCCCTCAGTGTATGTAACAACCATCTCTAAGACTCTTATAACAACCCTAACATACTGAGTCAATGCAACCCGCTTGGTCAGACGATCCAACTCCTCGTACAAAAGGGACTCGCCCTGAAGGAGATATAAGGAAGAGCCTTCGAAGAAGGCCCTATTGTGCCATCAAAGAGGCAACTCGTATTTTCCCTTCTCCTTATCCCCGATCAAGTCGATAGTGCCTTTGTTGCCCCTGCCTCATAAGCCTCGAGGATACTTGCAGAGGGAAAAGTGCCCCGACTGCTGTGCCCGTTGAAGAAACACTCGAGTCTGACTGAGGAGCCATCCCCATGTCGGGCATAGAGGACTTGGAACCTTTCTGAGCCTTCTTCAGGTTGAAAGCATCCGTCTTTGCCAAACATTCTTGAGTGTGATTCATCTTATCTGCGAGGAAATAACAAATTATGGTTAGCAAACAGAAACAATATGTCATGCATACAAAGAAAATTAGATCATAAAGTAACTACCCAGATACGCCACAAGATCCTCGCTCTCAAGGAGCCCCTGGGAGCGCGACCAGCGATGCCCCACACGTGCACCTAACCCAGTCAGCGATTATCTCCTCATCGACTCGACACGAGTCGAGCAGACAACCAAGAAACGACCAGAATACCTCTCTACCTGTGATTTGCCTCCTCCTCGGATTCCAATGGCTAGTTTACAGGCACACCTTCCGGTTTTGACCGAGTCCTGACAGCTACCTATTTTTGCAGACTCACATATCTAGGCCCAAAAACAAGAACCAATGACCAAGCAAAAGGGGAATTATATAAACTCTCGCACATGTGAGAGCCAGGTATCTAATATTTATCACTAAAACTCTAATACTTTGCTTGTATCTCTTTGCTCCCACACTTACTCGATATTCGGAGTTCCTTACCCGTACAACCACCTTTTTTCCTCAACTTTTCAGCCCATCAAAGATCATCCTTTGGCCAGCTTATAAATTCTAATCAATCGGTAAGATGAGTCATTAATTGGCATTATAACGTGAAACCTATCATTTTTCATCATTCCAATCATTTGTTCTCTCTTTGCGTTCAATCTTCTTCGTTTCTCTCTGCGTCCAATTAGTATGGCTACAAATTCAAACTATTAGCATATGACAAGTATTCTTTCCATGGCTAATCATCATCGTTCTCCAAGTTCTTCCATCTCAAAAATTCCTCGACGATCTTCTTCATCTCTTCACTCTCCATTTTGCCAACTCTGTAGCATAAAAACATTTCTCACAAAAAACCTCTCTTCCTCATCCATCAACCTTCATCAATCCAGCCCTAATGCTAACCAACGACAACTAAACCATATTCCGGCCATCCCTCCTCACGAACGCACCATATCAAATTCCTTTTTTCGGTGATCTCACGACGATACCCTAACCACATAACCACCAATCACTGAAACGTGTTACTTCTGCAGAACTCACGCATCCAAATAAATTATCACCTTTCCCACTCGATTACACTGCCGCTGCAACCACATGACATCCAAAATCATGCAGAACAACGCTACCGCCACAGATTCATCGGTATATCACTTTTGCTTTTAAATCTAGATTCAAATTGTTATGGTTGTTGTCTTTTAAGTTGAAGTTTATCTGATATGTGTTTTTTGATATGTGAATCTTTATGTTTCTCTATGCTTCATTTAGATAAATTTTTGTATTAATTATTGCATTTTAGCAGATGATAATGGAATGTTGAAGATGTAGTATATGAAGATAGCAAGAAGTATCTTTCTCTTGGGTCACTACATGGTTAGGTTCCTTCTCTTCATCACTTGGTTGCAGAAAGAATAAGTATCTTTTCTGTCTCCTTTATTGCATTTACAAATGAGATTTAGTGTTTCTACATGGTTAGAATTTAAGCCAATATTTGTAGGTAAAGTGAGCTTAACAAGTTACATGCATATGTTGTTTTCATTAAAATCTAATACGCTCTTATGAATTATCTCAAGATCCTTAAAAATTAGAGCTTATTATTTGTTCCTAAATATCTGATTTTTGATTTGCAGTTAGAGTATTTGGATGGAGAGCTTCTCTATTCAGGGATTGTGCTTTTTATTAAATTTATTTATAGAAGTATTTGCTTCCAGAACAGTAGTAAATACTGACTTTGTTCCTTTTTTTATACAAGTTTTATATTAAACAACCCTTCATCAAAATATATCATCCACAATATTATAGTAGTATTAGTTATATGCATGTTCTTGAAAAGTTGAAGGGTAGTAGGTGTTTTCACTTTTGTTTCAACTATTGTTACCGTTCCTGTAACATTTTGAAATATGTCTTTATTCACTCTCTAAACTGACTTTAAAATTTTCAAAGTTGTGAATATCTATAAGACACCTTCAATGTTGTAATGCTCTGCCTGAAAATATTCACTTAACCAATTTTAGATTGACATTTAAATAGAGGAAAACAACAATTTTAGGAGACAAGTGTTCTTATTATTATGTATATGGTTACTGAACATTTTTGTGAAACGAGGACATGTGTTTTGTTTAACAAGGAATGGGACTAATTTACTTACTTTTGAAACTTTTTTTAACTTGTAAATATGGACAATTATTTGTGCTTGCAGTTAAAGAAAGAGATAATGGATCTGGCTATGCAGCGGGACCTTGCCCACACTCAAATTACGGACATGCTTAAAGTGGTTGTAGACGATATGTCCTCGACTGATATGGTTAGTGTATATGTGTTTATAGAAGTATTTGCTTCCAGAGCAGTTGTAAATTATACTGACTTTGTTCCTTTTTCTATGCGGGTTTTATATTAAACAACTTTAATCAAAAAATTCAATTTTCGAAGATGATGGCGATAAGGAATGTGCATAGTACAAAATTAAAGAAATCAACATGTTTATTGTGGACAAGAATCAACAAGTGAGACTTTATTTTAATGCTGTAAATTTTGGGTGTAATCCGTAATAATTTTCTTTTTGCTTTTTTGTTCTTTCTTTGTGATTCCAATGCTTCTTTAAAATATCACAATTAGTTTGCAGATGGGCTTAAAATTCCAATGCTTCTTTAAGATATATGCAGCTTTTATATGTGTTTCTTTAAAATTCCAACGCTTCTAGGTGTTTATAGGCTTGGGTTTTGTTTGGATAATGACAGTGATTGTGGTTATCTTGGACTGAATGTGTTTGGTGGTGAAGAAGGTGAATTGTGTTTGATTTTGCTGTAACTGGTCCTTATTCTATTATGTTTGTTGATGCTGCTTCTATTAAATGTGTTGCAGGTGGTGAAACTAGCAACAGGCATTAGGTCTACTTATTCCAGCACTTTCATGAAACTAAATTATATTTTGTGTTTATTTGAAGTTTTGTAATCTAATTGCATTCAAATTGCAGAAATTTATAAACTATAAACATTTTGCTTTAGTCTTAGTTGTTTTGAAAATCATTGAACTAAAACCAAGAATCTCTATTAGAAGTTGGTAATGTCAGATGAACACTCTCCGTGTATGTACTCTTTGCATTGACTTCCTATTTGTTATAATTATTTTTTTTATTTAATTACATTTTTTTGTACCTGCAAGACACTCTGACAATCAAGTAAGTGTAGGAGCCAAGAGATACAAGAAGAATATGAGGGTTTAAGGTGTGAGATTTTAAATACCTGACCCTCACATGTGTGACGATTTATATAATGCCTCCGACACTTGGCCAATAGTCCCTATTTTTGGGTCTAGATATGCGGGTCCATAAAAATAGGTAACTGTTAAGACTCAGTTAAAACGGGCAGGTGTACCCGTAACTATCTGTTGGATCCGAGGACGAAGATTACGGGAAGATAGCCATTTTGGTTATTTCTTGGGTGTTTGCCCGACTCATGTCGGGCTCACGGAAGACACTTGCATGGGCATAACTGGTCGTATGCTCAAGGGCGTGGTCGACCAGAGTGCTGAGCCACCATTGTTGGGTCGTGCCAAAGATGGAAGTAGGTTGGGCCAATTCTAGTCATTGGGCTAGTTCGGAATAGGAGCCCCCAAGTCGTTGCTACTGGTCACAGGAGTGATAACTTAGAACCAGCCTGCGAAACGGGGGTGCTTCTCGGTCGATTTTGTACGAGGAGTACGAGTGATGCTCGTCGTGTTCGTCTTGCAGGGAGAGGAACAATTGAACGATTTCAAGGAGTTATCATGTCTCAAGGGGAAATTTTGTACGAGGAGTCCGAAAACTACCCGATGTTTGTTTTGCAGGGAGAGGAATGATTGGTTGAGTCTGGGGAGATTGCGTGCTATGCTTGTATCGAGCCACGTGATGTTAGGGAGGTGCGATGATGGCTAGCCTAGGGACTAGGGCGTGGTGATGATGCCTTTTAGGGTTCCCTAGGTGCGTGCTCTCTTATGTGATGGTGAGCCTAGTCTATAAAAAGAAGGGAGAGAGCTCCATACATGCTTTTCGCCCGTCTTTTAGCTGCTCGATATCTTCGCTCTCGCTCGACTTTATCTATATCTGCTCGACTTCATCTGTCTTCAAAATTTTCATTTGTTTCGTTGTTCGCCGTCGTCTGTTCCCGCTGTTTCTTCACTTAATCCGACAAGTTTTTATTGATTCCCTTTGTTTTTGTCATCATCACTTTCGTTATAGTTTGGATTTTAAGGTTCTTCCTTAGAAAATGCATGCGGTTATGGTTTAGGATTATTGATTTAGAAATTCTGATGAAATATTGGTTGGAGACGACGGTTCTGGCGGGTGATGTCGTCGAGGATACCAAGTGTCCCCAGTGGGCTTTTGGAACCTTAGTGGTGTCAAATGAACATAGGAAACTTTTATATGAATCCAACTGGCTTGGTCGAGGAGGAGAGATTATCTAGTGGTCGTTTGAGTGAGAGCTCTGGTTGGGGACAAGGTCCTTGTTCCTTGGCGCTCTTTCACTTGATTAGTGGTGGAAACGTGAATTTGACGTTGACGTCGAACTCATTTTTATCCTTTACTTTTTAGGTACGACAACTAACGCTGATGACGAGTTTCTCAATGAGCCTAGTGGTTCTGCCCGGAGTTCTGCTAAGAGTACGCTTGGCGAGGCGAGCACTTCAGGGGCGTATGAGTCCTCACCAGAAGAACTATTGCCATAGATGCCTCGTAATCAGGATGCTGAGGGGGACATCGAGGTGGCTCCCGTTGATCAAGAGGGTCCCAACGTGCCTGTGGTCGAGGAAGGTCCATTGGATTGGGTTGTATCGGGCCCGTTGAGGTATGTCTCTTACTTTATTGAGCATCCTGACGAGATATTCACCTTGTTGGATCTAGAGATGGAGCGAGAGGGTGCTGAAGAGCAATGGGAAATCTACATTCCCAACAAGAAGAGTCGGATCTGATCGCGGTTCGAATCTCGTCGGTTCCCTATGTATGAGATCATGTTCAGGGAGATGGGTTTGCGGCTCCCATTCTCAGACTTCCAAGTGGCGATCTTCAGGCCTCTTCATTTGGCTCCATCACAGCTACACCCGAACTCAATCGCCTTCCATCGGGCTTTCGAGATCGTCTGTGACTATTTGGGCGTCGCCATTGTCCCTTTGTTCTTCTATTGATTCCATCTTCAGAGGCAGTCGTTTGGTGCCCAATATGGTTGGTTCGCTCTGAAGTAGGCGAACGACAAGTTGTTCAAGGCATACCCAGAGTCAGTCCACTTCTTTAAGGAAAAATTTATGCTCGTTCAGCCCATCTCAGAGAGGGCGTTGTTGAGTGTCTTCCGGGTTGCCCCTACGTACAACAGGGAAGAGGCTCCCGTTTTGACAGAGGAGGGAAAACATGTGAATAAGCTGGTGCCTAAGTTTCCTTTTCACTGGACCGACAAGTATTATAAAAGGGGGGATGACGTCTATGTCTGGAAGAAAGATAAGCTTGGTGCCGAGGACATAGCCAACTTTGATCTTCTATGCGCATTTGTTGCGGGGTTCCCTCCCGTCCAGCATGTAGGCAGATGGGGGAAGTCAGTTCTTGATAAAAACGTATAGGAGGTCTACGACCAGGGTTTGATAAATGTTAAGGAGCTCCTCGAGAGTGAGTACCCTGTGGCATATCTTGGTAGTCGTCTTATGATTTGATTTTCTTTATATGCATGACATAGTCGTTTTTCTGTATGCTGATCGTTATATGTTGTTTCTTCGCAGATAAGATGAATCCCGCTCAAGAACACCTGACAAAGACGGCAACTTCCAACCTGAAGAAGGCTCAGAAAGGTGCCAAGTCCTCCCCGTTCGACACAGGGATGGCTCCCCAGTCAGGCTCGGGTGCTTCGTCAACGGGCCCAGCGGCTCAGGCACTTTCCCATCTGTAGGTATCCTCGAGGCTTAAGAGGCAGCACAACAAGGGCATTGTCGACCTGACCGGGGAGAAGGAGAAGGGAAAATATAAGTTGCCTCCTTGCTGGCACAACATGGCCTTCTTTGAGGGCTCTTCCTTGTATCTTCTTTGGGGTGAGTCCTTTTAGCTTGAGGAGTTGGATCGTTCGGCCAAGCGGTTGCATTGGCCCAGGATGTTGGGCCCGTTATGAGGGTCTTGGATATGACCGTTGCGTACACCGAGGAAGGCTCCTCTTAAGAAGTTGAGATGAGAAAATTGCAGGCTAAACTGGCTGATACTGAGAAGGAGCACGCCGACGAGGGGGCTGCTCGAAAATTGGCAGAGGAGAGGCTAGAGAAACTGACCAAGGACCATAGGGCGCTGCTCCTCAAGAAGAGAACTTCTAACGAACAGGTGGCGATCTTGATTGCTAAATCCCCTTATACTGAGGACGAGCCGGAGGAAGCCCTAGGTTTGAGGACTCGTGCGGAATTGGTTGCACGTCTCCAACTGGCTTTGGACGATGCTCTCGCTGCTGCTTAGGAGAGCTTTGATAATGCAGTGAAGCAACTTCGGGTTTTGAACCATGAGGCCGAGCTCAATGTGACTGGGATGGAACTCCATTATTATGTTGCTGATGGCAAAACCATGTTCCCTGAGTACCTTAGAGACGCCGGGGATGTGCCCATAGAGGAGTCATCGCATCAAAAGCCCGCCACCGAGGAAGAGCCCCGACCAGATATTTGACTACTTCTTGTTATTCCTTTTTCTGTTCTGACCTGCGCACCGTATTGATGTAATTCATTTTGTGGGTTCGACCCTTTTTGATTAAGTTTTGAACAACTGTGGTCTTTACGGCCACATGATTACTTTGTTGGATGGGGGAATTGGGGTCCCTTTTAGTAAAATTTGCACAATCGCGGCCTCATTGGTCATTTCTTAATTTTCCAACCGTGGTGGTGGTTTGCTTTAGTTCGTGCATGATTGTGTTACTTTTATATTTGAGGTGTTTTGCATGTTTCGTATGCTTGTCTGTTTGAGACGCTTTTTATTGGCTGAGTTTGAAGCGGGGATTTGCTCGTAAGTTAGTAAGTTCGCTAGTATGGGGAAACTGGTCAAACGACCAGGGTGAATATCGGGCATGAGCCGTGTTGTATCCTAATTTTCTCCCCTAAGATTCCTCTATCATCTCATATCAACTCAATCATATCAAGATTACACTAGGGTTTGGTTCTTCTCCCTATCTTTAGATTTGCTCATGAGGAATCACCAAACACCTTGATTTGTATATTGTGATCATATATGTTTTGTATTGATTAACATTTAACTAACAAATGCAATGAATATTTTCTCTAATTGATGATACTATATGTGAAGGAACAACACATTTCATCAGGTTGATGCATATGTTCATGAGTTTATTTTCATGCCTTCTTCAACAAAGCTTCATTAAGACTCAAGCTTCATCATTGAAGATGCTTTAAAGTAATATCATGACAAGGTCTACTATGATTCATCATGCCTCAATTAGTCAAAGAAAGTCAAAAGATACAAGGGTTGATTGAATAAGTTTGACTTAATTGGACAAACTCTTGATTCCTTGATCACAAGTGCCTAACTCTCTCATTTCTTAATATTTGGAAGTGGTTTTTGTTGTTATGGGTTCTTATTATCTTCCACAACAACTTCTATTCACATGGCAAGAGTAATTATGCAAGAAAGTTGGTCAAAATTGTAAGGGGTTTCCAAGTCACTTTGGTGCTCTAGGAGCTAGGATTTTGAACTTTTAAGGGTTATATATTGCTCATCTTTTGAGATTTTTTAGTGATTCCAAAGATATGCTTCTCTTTAAAATGTTATCAATTAATCACTTCAAGAGTTTCAAGGAAATTTTGTGTGGAAGATGCCTAATGATGAAGAAAGATTACATGTCCTCTAGGCTATCAAATTTCCTTGAGCCCATCCTTTTTCCACAATGATCTTAAGAATGCGAGTTTCAACTCTTCTTTTATGTGCAAAGCTTGAGAATCAGTGAAGGATGCCCTAAGAACTCAAAAGATTATAGGTTACCTCTTAAATTTTCACCAATTTTACATGGCCATAATGTTTTCAATAATTGCTATTTTTGAGTAATTCGAGTTTCACAATGCTCTTTGGGAAGTCTACTTCAAGCTAGCATCAATGATCAAAGCTCAAATTTGAAGGAAGGCTTTGTTTGAACTCAAAACATTATAGGTCACTTTTAAAAAAAACTTAGAATTTTTTGAAGTACAAAAAGTCAGTATCTTTTTCTCAACTTTTACTCATCACAACTTTTAGCTCAATCATACATTTGATCTCATTCTTGGCACATTGCAAAGATTGTGACCTTATCTTTCAAATGCTTCAAGAATCATGTCATAAGACCCCTTGAGCTATGAATACCATTATTTCAAAGTTGGTGTCTTGAAACTGAAGGTTCAATTCAAGTCAAATTGCAAAATTCATAATTTGGCTTCTAATCACCAAATTTCCACGCGTTTTCCACTTAAATATGATTAGCAAATATGTTTGGATCATTTAGAATAATAAAATGCACCGTTTGATTGAGTTTTGATGTACATGTGATCACACTTTCTTCATGATCACAGGTGTGCACGAACTCAAGGGAAATTGCATCATTCACCCCTCCTCTTGATTCCATTCGCTTCTCCTATAAATACAAACTCTATTCCACTCATTTTTACAAGCTTGAACAACCAGAATCACCCTGCCAAACTCTCTCCTTAACCCACTTTTCTGCAACTTCGAATTTAGTTTTACAACCTTCCTCAATCCATTTTCTTTGCTAATTCTTCATCCTTGAACTTCACTGAAGCTAACAGAAGAAGAACCAAGCCCTAAAGCATCCTAAATCGTGCTAGCAAAGTCAAGTTTCAAAGCTCTGAATTTGAACTTCAATAGGTAGATTTCTTCATCAATTCTCTTAAAATTTGTTCATACAATGAAGCTCTCATCAT